AGAATGCTTACTGGCTTGCCAAAGGTGATAACAACAAAATTCAGACAGATTAATACACAGTGCTTCCTTTCCAAGTGGTCAGGGACACACCTCTCACGTTATTTAGCAATTCATTTTCAAATGAAGCTATTCAGATTGCTGTGTATGGCAATGATTAAACTTCCCATGTCTCATAAAATGAAAGGCTGAGAGACTCTGATTTGATTTTACTCTTGGACTTTGATTTAGTCAGAAGATAATCGGTTATACTGTAACCAGGAGCAAAGGGTCAAAGACATAGAAATGAGGATTATAAAGAGGGTCAATGATATAGAAAGTATCAAATGCTGTAGCTAAGTTGAAAGTGGTGACTGCCCAATGTCCTTGCTTGGAGAAGGTACATACTTTGTTCCATTGCTACACACCAGTCTCTTCCTCAAACTTCCAATACTTTGCAAAGTCCCTAAAATGCTTCTGGCAAGATATAGGTCTGTTGAAAAAGGATTTGCTCCCTGAGATCATTTTAGTTCAGGATAAAGATTGCTTCCCTTCGGATACCTGTCTCTCTTTTCAACCACTCTCTTACAGATGGAGGCATCAAGTCAGTGCTTAAGCATCATTAATTTTGGACTTAATTGTCCTACCTTTTCCAAAAATGCCCACACTAATTCTACTCTACATTTCTTTCCTCTGGGTTTTTTTTTTTAAGATTTTATTTATTTATTCATGAGAGACAGAGGTAGAGGGAGAAGCAGGCTCCATGCAGGGAGCCGGATGTGGGACTCGATCCCGGGACTCCAGGATCATGCCCTGGGCCAAAGGCAGGTGCTAAACTGCTGAGCCACCCGGGAATCCCCTCCTCTGGGTTTAATATAAAAATTGGCCCGTAGAAAAAAATACCTCGTTCCATTGGTACCATAATTTAACCCCTACCCGGTTCTTAGCCAGTTAGATTTTTCTAAATCATCTTAAACAGTGTTGCAGTAAATATCTTTGTCCGTCTGTCTCTGTTCCCCTGTGTTGTCATTTCCTTACATCATCACCTTTAGATTTCTTTTTGGTGTTTAGGAAGTTTTCTCTACTGAGAAGAGAATGTGCTACTATCAGGAAATTGCCAGAATTATTTTTGAAACGGAATCATTAGGTTGGCTTCTGACTGTAAGTGATGTTTGTTAAAATGAAGGTGAGAACAGATGGCTAGCCAAGGGCTTGTCCGCCCCTCCTGGCATCAGCTGATGATGGATGGCCCACCCTAAGGAGCAGAACAGCCTGAGCTGGACGTACACATGCAGCAGTCTCTACCACCTTGAAGCCTCTGCTGGCTGTCAGCCCAGCAGGCATTGCAGAGGCAGGCGGCTGAGAAGCAGAAAGATGCTTCTCTTTAGACCCTGGAGCTCTGGCCAGACCTCCACCCAGCACCTTACTCCTGGGCTGAGATTAAAGTGCCCTGAGCTGAGGAGTCAAGACCCTGGACAGCCCAGGGGGTATTTCCCTAACTTCACCACCCATTGTTCTTAAGAAAAGAGATCTCCTTCATGTTGGGTTTTTAACCTTTTCTTTTTTTTTTTAAACAGAAAAACTAACTAGTTGGACCCAGGGGAAAATCTCCTGAGTTTAAAAGACCTGGGTTTTGTCAACACATGATTGGCCTCTTCTGATAATAGTTTCTAAAATACCTTTCCTTTTTATTTCTCTTTGAAGCTTATGTATAATTAGATAAGAAAAAGAGGTGCAGGTGACTAGCTTAAGGGCACATGGCTGATTGCAGCGAGGATGAACAGGACTAGAACTTAGTTCTTCTGATGCTATGGTATTCCCCTACTCAACAGTTTTGGGGCACAAATAATGTATGTATCAGTTACAGTACAGGCTAAATTTTTGTAACAAAGAGATCCCAATCATATCAAAGTTTACTTCTCTCACATATAGCCCTCCAGAGGTAGACAGGTAGTCAAGGGCAGGTAGGCTGCTCTCCTCCATAAGGTCATTCAGGGACCCAGATTCTTTTATCTTGTTGTCTGGGTCACGAGCTCTCTCTGAAAAGGGCCAAATGGTAAACATTTAGGCTTTGTAGGCCATACAATCATTGTCCCAACAGCTTGATTCTGCTAACATAGTATGAAAGCAGCCATAGACATTACACGAGCAAATAGCATGGCCATGTTCCAATAAAACTTGACTTACAAAATAGGCTGCAGGTCAGATTTGGCTCATGGGTTATAATGTAATGACTTCTAGCCTCAGATGTCCTTTTCACCATTGGATTTGTGTTCCAGACAGAGGAAAGAAGTGGATGGGTTGAAATTTTTCTTCTAAAAACAATAACCAGGGGCGAAAGAAGTAGATAGGTTGAACTTTGTCTTCTAAAAACAAGAATCAAGGGCAGCCTGGGTGGCTCAGTGCTTTAGCGATGGCTTCAGCCCAGGGTGTAATCCTGGAGACCCGGGATCAAGTCCCACGTTGGGCTCCCTGCATGGAGCCTGCTTCTCCCTCTGCCTGTGTCTCTGCCTCTGTGTGTGTGTGTGTGTGTGTGTGTGTCCCTTATGGATAAATAAATAAAATCTTAAAAAAAAAAAGTCAGGATAGTGGTTGCCTTTGTGGGGGGATAGTGCCCAGAGATGGACTTAAGTCTACCTCTGAGTTCTGGCAATGTTCTATTTCTTGATCTGGATGGTGAGGGTTTCACACATAGGTGTATTCATGTGAAAATTCTCTAAGCCATAGCTTAATATTCATGTACTTTTCTATATGTATGTTTTTTTTCTATATGTATGTTCAACTTCAGTAAAAAAAAGTTTACAAAATTCGCAAAAAAAGAAAAATGATTCAGAAGTATCATACTACTTCTCTCATTACTTGGGCTGAGGCAGGCTCCTCTGAAAGGGGACACAGGGCCCTCTGAGGGCCTCATGACATTCCTCAAAGGCAGACAGAGAAGATCTGGGAGGATTGGGGTCAAGGAGTCACTTCAGGCATCCACACTGAAGTGGCTATCCAGCTCACAGTTATGGTTCTCCCATGGGTATGAGATTTGAGCCATCCATGGTACCTCTCTTTCTGGCCATGATAACTGATCCCAAAACATGGGTACGTGATCCAGGCCAAGACAAATGGAGTCCTTTCTCAGGAGTTGCCAAACTGAGGAAAGGGACTCCTTTCCTTTCAGCTATAAAGATGTGAGCCTGGATTTCCTGCAGCCTGGTCCAGGTTCCTGGAGATGGCTAGACTTCGGGAATGATCCTGATATCCAGAAAGAAGCAAGGAGAGAGCAGGAGAGAGAAAGAGCTAAGGATCTTCAGGTTCTTGGTTCCAGCTATCCCAAAGGTCAGCTCCACCCTGCTCTTCCCAGTTATAGGAGCCAATAAATTCCTTTTGAATTCCTTTGATGTTTAAGAGAATTAGTGTTGAGCTCCTCTCTCATGAAAACTCTCAGCTGCCTTTCTCCCCAAAATGCAACCTGGATCAGACCACTTCTTATCATCCCCACAATCCTTTTTAAAGATTTTATTTATTTATTCATGAGAGACACAGAAAGAGAGGCAAAGACACAGGCAGAGGGAGGAGAAGCAGACTCTGTGCAAGGAGCCCAATGTGGGACTTGATCCTAGGAATCTGGGATCACGCCCCGAGCCAAAGGCAGACCCTCAACCACTGAGCCACCCAGGCATCCCTCATCCCCACAATCCTGACCCAAACTACCACTGTCTCTTGGTTGGATGAATGAAAGTCTCCCAGCTCCTTTCTTGCTCTTTTACAATCCGTTCTTCACCCCAGCAGGCCAAGTGATCTTAGATAAATATCAGTCAGACCACATCACTTCCTGCTTAGTGATTTCTCATTACATCCTAACTCATCCTGTTTTATAAGGCCTTGCATAATCTGCTTCTGTCTTTCCTCCAACTTTATCTCCTGGCACTTTCCTTAATCCTAGCTCCTTTGCTCCCTCCCCCTTTTTTCTTAAACTCATTAAGATCATTAAATCTTCGGTGCCTTTGCACCCCCTATCCCAGATCTTTCGGGTTTTGGTATAGTAATACAGTAGTCACATTTCCCCTGCCCCATCTCTCTGTATATCATTTTGTTTAAATTATTCACAGGAATTGTCACTAGCTGCAATTATCTTATGTTTTTGCTGACTCTTTTGTTGCTTGTATCCCCCTCCTAGAGTGTGAGCTCCAAGAGAGCAGTATCCTTGCCTGCATGTTTGCCAGGCATCCATACAGTAGGTGCTCGGGTACTATTTATTGAGTGAATGAATGAGTTACAAAATGACGTTGGGCTGGAGAACCTCAGACCGAGGTTCACTGTGGGGTCTCCTTTCCTCTGCACCATGCTGCCATCCACACTGTTAATCAGTATTAACTCGTAGAGGAACTTGGACCTCTTACTTGACTTCACTTGACCTGTTTGCTCATTTGCGAAATGGGAACTCCTTGCTGACCCAACTCCAAAGGTTGCTGGAGATGCAAGGAGCCAGTGGGTGGAAAAGCCCAGAGGAGCCCACCGACAATCAGAATTGCACAGATCTGGGCACCTGGGTGGCTCAGTGGTTGAGCATTTGCCTTTGGCTCAGGGCGTGATCCTGGGGTCCTGGGATCGGGTCCCACATCAGGCTCCTCGCAGGGAGCCTGCTTTTCCCTCTGCCTATGACTCTGCCTCTCTCTGTATGACTCTCATAAATAAATAAAATCTTATTTAAAAAATGAAAGAATTGAACAGATCTGGCCTTGCTCTGCTTCTCCACCAAGTCCTTCCCCCACATGATCCTGTTCAACCTAGCCTGTGGAACTCCTCCTTTCCGGGTCACTCACAGCCTCCCTTGCTTTGCCTTCCCCCACCCTTGGCCCTCAAAAGGTCTTATTTTACAGCTCCTTGTAGAGAATTTACACAAGGCCATGAACTTCACTGTGAGAAAGCACAGGCTATAAAAGGCCAGGCTTGGCTTCTTGTGCCATGGTTAAATATTGATCATAGCAGGAAACAGAGGCCTGGGGTGGACAGACCACATATTCCCCCACAACAATGGACCTCCCAGACCGGGGGTCCTCCCCAGCCCACTCCCTAGGCTGGTGAGAGGATCTAGATGTTTTTTTCTTTACTTGAGGCCAACATATAAGGAAAGCATGGAGCTCCTGGTTCTTTCAGATCCTGAAAGTCACACGGAGCCAGTTTGTCATCTGAGGCCACTCACTCAAGAGGTCATTCACCCTGGAGTGACGGAGGAGGTTCCAGGCCTGGGCGTGTGCCAAGGGTGTGTGCCAGAGCTACCAGATGGGCTCCACTGACACAGGCTCTGGAGCGTGGCCCCACAGGGGACAGCTGTGTGGGGTGCTCAGGTACAGAGACCCCTTGGCACTCCTGTGAGAGAAGGACCCAGAAACTAGTGCTGCTCCTAACAGCAGATCAAGGCAGGACCCAGAAGCAGGATCCAGGGTGAGTGTCTTCAACCTCCCATGGGGATGGGTGGCTCAGGATCTTTGGCAGGAATGCCAGCCTAGCAGCAGATCGATGGTGAAGCCCTGTATAAAATGCAGGACTCTCCCAAAGCGGCCTAAGGAGACATGACAGCTAAATGCAATGTGATATCCTGGATGCGACCCTGGAATAGGAAAAGGACAATAATGGAAAAATCAAAGCCAAATGAATCGTGAAGTTTGGTTAATAATTTTTCAAAAGCAGATATATTAATACGATGCTCACTGTAGAAGGAAACTGATTAAGTGCTCTGAAGGAAATGTGTCCTTTGTTCCTTTTGTTTGGCATCTAATGCAACCAGGGAGGGCTGACGCTCAGTTCAAGTCATGCTATCATTTTGCCTTTTTGTTTGTTGGTGTATGTTGATTATAACAATAGTATACAATTTAAAACACACCTTCTGCTGTGGACATCAGCCACATGCAAATTTTTTTTTAGCCACATGCAAATTTGTACACTTTTCTGATTAGTTCCAGTACCACTCTGTCCTGCTCACTGTAGCTTTATTTTTTTTAAAAGATTTTATTTATTTATTCATGATAGACAAAGAAAGAGAGAGAGGGAGGGGGGCAGAGATACAGGCTGAGGGAGAAGCAGGCTCCATGCCAGCAGCCCGACGCGGGACTCGATCCAGGGACTCCAGGATCGCGCCCTGGGCCAAAGGCAGGCGCCAAACCTCTGAGCCACCCAGGGATCCCCTCACTGTAGCTTTAGAGTAGGTCTTGTAGTTGGGTAGCATCGGTCCTCTGACTTTGCTCCTCTTCTTCAATATTGTTAACTATTCTGGGTCTTTTGCCCCTGTCCATCTGTATAAACTCTAGAGCCAGTTTGTCCATATCCATAAAATAACTTGCTGGGATTTTTGATTGGTATTACCCTGGATCTATAGATCAAGCTGGGAAGAACTGACATCTTATTAGTTCTATTCATTAAACAACCCCTATTGGAACTGTTGTCTCAAAGGGTAAATATATACGAGCATTAAAAATACACACAAATACATCAAATATATATTTAAAACATACATACATTAAAATATAATTACATGTATTGTTTTCATGAAGATAATGTATACTTATGAGAAATGTATGTAATACAGAAATGTTCAAAGTGAACGTCTCACATGTTTAGACCCCATCCTACTTCCTTGGGGGGAGTGAGTGTTGAGTATCTTGACCTTCACACTCTTTTCTCTATGGACCTGGGGGGGTCTGCACATGTGACATAAGTCTATGGCCAATGTTACTAATTAATCCAGACACTCCTGCGTCTGAGACTGAGCAGAAATCACAACCCCTTTTAGCAAGTGCTCTGGACAGACAGTTGGAGCTGGAATAGCAAATCACATAGATTAGCCATTCCTGTAACTTTGTCCTTCCATTAGTCGATATATATTCAGTAAGTAATGAGTAAGTAGGTAGTATGCATCCAAGTCCCAGAAAGCATAAAAAAGATCTTTCTTTTTCCCTGAACTTCTATCTCTATCTTGACACACAAATGATCATTCATATACAAAAAACTTAGCTCAGTGTTATATTTGTGTCAAAATATTTTCCCTCAAAGTCTGACGCTTCTTCAGTTTTCTCAGAGTAGAGTTGGAAAAAAACTCTGATGTCAATCCTTTTATTAGTACTTTGCTTTTCTGTTTGGCTGTTTGCCATCCGGCTGTTTTGGGATGTTCCTGGCTGAGTATCCAGGGGCTACTACAGAAGACAATGTCAGAGTAGGGGCACTTGAGATTGCCTTGGGGACCCTCCTGTTCTCTCTGCGTTTGTCATTGTTAGTAGTGCCACCATGTTTTCATGATTGGTCTGCTCATGGGCAGCCCTGGTGGCTCAGCGGTTTAGCGCCGCCTTCAGCCCAGGGCATGATCCTGGAGACCTGGGATCGAGTTCCACGTTGGGCTCCCTGCATGGAGCCTGCTTCTCCCTCTGCCTGTGTCTCTGCCTCTCTCTCTCTGTGTCTCTCATGAATGATTGGTCTGTTCAAAACCCCTCTCCTAAAGAAAAACTATTTCTTTAGTTACTCTCATTTTCATTCTTGATCCTCTTCCCCCAGAGATAAGTATCCTAATGTGCATAATGTGTATCTTTCTTAAAATGTTTTTGTAAAATATGTATTATGTGCATATTTTGAATTTTCATAAATGCTATGGCATGCCCCCTTATGATCCTCGAGGATAATTTTTTGGGATATATATATATATATACACACACACACACACACTCAAGAGCGGGATTGCTGTGTCGTGGGGTGTGTATACTTACTTTGGCTGATTTGCTCTTAGGATGGCTGCCTGTCTACACTCCCTCTGTTAATGCCTGGGGCTATAGCCCCAGAGCCCCACCAACTCCCAGCCTTAGCTACCTTCCAAACCAAGTCCATCTAATAGATGCCAAGTACTATTTCATTTTTGTTTTAATTTTCATTCTTTTGATTACCAAAGAAATTGATCATTTCTTCATATGCTTACTAGACTATGAAGGGTTTCCTATTTCGTGAATCGCTTGTTTACATCCTTTACCTTTTTTTTTAGGGTTCCTGTCCTTTTTTCTCGTTAATTTGCAAGAATTCTTTGTATACTCTAGATATCAGTCTTTTCTTGATCTTGAGCATTGTAAGTATCTTATCCCAACAAGAAATGTGTTTGTTACTTGATTGATGGTATTCTTCATTGAATGGATAATCTTGTTTTTTATATAATCAAATCCGTCAGTTTTTTAATTGAATGATTTGAGTTTTTATAGTTTTGTTTAAGAAGTCCTACTCCACTTCTATTAACTTTATGTATTTTTCCTCTTATATTTAGGTCTTTAATTTTGGAGTCTGTTTTGGTTTGCTATTTGTTAGATGTGCATCATCCAGTCTTCCTTTTCTTCATACAGTGAGCTAGTTTCCCTGACACAGTCTACTGAACAATTCCTCCTTTCCCTACTGGTTATTAGAGCTACCTTTATTGTATATCCAGTTTCCAATTTGGTCTTGTGTCAAAACCACCTTTTTTATCACTGTCTCTCAACCTCTACTGGGACCAGTCCTCCTCTTAGTCTTTTTTTTTTTTTTTTAAGATTTACTAGCTACTTTTGTGTGTTTACTTTTTCTATATAAACATTAGAATAAGCTCATCAAGGTCCTCAAAAAATCTAATAGAATTTTGATTGTGACTGTATGGGATTATTAGATTAGTTTGGAGATAATTGACATGTTCATAATATATATACTATCCAAAAACATAGATGTCTTTCCATTTATTCAGACCACCTATTTTTTTTTTCTCTGTAGAGGTCTTTCGTATGCTTGGATAAGTTTATCTAGATGATTTATGGCTTTGATGCGATCTTGAATGATATCCTATTTTTATTTAATTTTCCAGTTTCACTACTAATGTGAGAAATGCTATTGACCTTGTATACAGCAACAAATGTATAAATGTAGAAGCAGTAAATGCTTCTGTTAGTTCTAATTGTATATCTTTCTAGGTAGATGATCTTGTCATCTGAGAATTACAAGTCTCAACTCTTTCCTATCAAATCTCACACTTCATTTAATTGAATATATATTACATAAAATATTGTGTAAATTTAAGGTGTACAATATGTTACTTTGATACATTTCTATATTGGAATATTATTGTCTTGTAGTTATGGTTATCACATTACATAATTACAGTATGATATTGTCTATATTCATTATATTATGCATTAGATGACTATGGCTTATTTACTATTAGTTGCAAATTTGTACCTTTAAACAATATAAAGCTTATCTTCCCAACTCCCATTCCCTGACAACCACCATTCACTCCATTGTTCTTACAAATCTGACTTTTTTTTTAAGATCCCACATAAAAGTGAAATCATACAATTGTCTTTCTTTGTCTGATTTATCTCACTTAGTATGATGTACTCCAGGTCCATCCATCTGGTCATAAATGCCAGGATATCCTCCTTTCTCATGGCTGAATAATATTCTACTGTGTATGTACAACACATCTTTTTCATCCATTGGTCTGTCAGTGGGCACCCAGGCTGCCCCCATATCCTGCCTATTGTGAACAATGCTGGAAAAACATGGGAGTGCATATGGTTTTTCAATATATGTTTTCTTTTCCTTTGCATATATTTACCCAGTGGTCAAATTGCTGGATCATATGGTAGATCTAGATTTAATTTTTTGAGGAAACTCCATGTTGCTTCCCATATTGCTTGAACCAATATACATTTCCACCAACAGTATATGCCAGTTTCCTTTTCACCACATCCTCCCAGCACCTGTTGTCTCTTATCTTCTTGATGATAGCCATTCCAACTGGTATAAGGTGGTATATCTCACTGTGCTTCTGATTCACATTTCCCTTCTGATGAGTGATATTGAGCATCCTTTCATGTGCCTGTTGGCCATTTTGATGTCCTCTTTGGAAAAATGTCTATTTTGTTCTGCCAATTTTTAAATCAGATTGTTTTGTTGTTGTTATGTTGTATGAGTTCTTTATATATTTTGGATATTAACCTCTTATACGGTTTGCAAAAATTTTCACCATTCTATAGGCTTTTTTATTTTGTTGATTTTTTCTTTCATTGTATGGAAGCTTTGAGTTTTATATAATCCCATTTGCTAATTTACACTTACTTCTTCTTCTTTCCTTACTGGGACCTCTAGGACTTATTATAATGGTCAAATTCAGCCAGCAAATTGTTGCCTTGCCATTTATCTTAAAGGGAATGCATTTAAAGCTTCTCCATTAACTATAAGGTTTTCTGTAGGATTTTTATGTTGCCTAGACCAAACTGAAGAGGTTTTCCTTCTACTTCAAGTTTGCTATGAGTTTTTTATTTTAAGATTTTATTTGTTTATTCATGAGAGACACACACGCACACAGAGACAGAGACACAGGCAGAGGGAGAGGCAGGCCCCATGCAGGGAGCCCGGGTCTTCAGGATCAGGCCCTCGGCTGAAGGCAGCGCTAAACCGCTGAGCCACCTGGGGCTGCCCTATGAGTTTTTATCATACGTATCAATCATATGTTTTTTTTCCCCTTTAGCCTATTAATGTAGTAAGTTATACTGATATAGTTTCTGATGTCAAACTGTCCTTCTATTCCTGGTGTTTAAGTTCCTTGGTAATGCTTTTTTAAATACATTGTTGAATTTGAGTAACTACTTTATTTAGGATTTTTGTGTCTACTTTCATAAGTGAATGGGCCTATTATCTTCTCTTCTTGCATGGCCCACATCTAGTTTTGAAACCAGTGTTAGAAGAGCAATCCAGTTAGTGCTGTCTATTTTGGGGGACTTCTGTAAAATAAGAATCAATTGCTTATTAAAAGTTTATTAAAACTCACGATTAAAGCCATGTAGGCCTAGGCTTTATTTTTTGGAGAGGAGGACTTGGCTTATCATTTTAATTTCTTTTTTCTTAATAAGATTTTTTTCCTAAAGATTCTATTTATTTACCTGACATAAGGAGAGAGAGCACAAGTAGGGGGAGTGGCAGAGGAAGGGGGAGAGGCAGGCTCCTCGCTGAGCAGAGAGTCCTATGTAGGACCCCAAGATCATGACCTGAGCTGAAGGCAGATACTTATTAGACTGAGCCACCCAGATGCCCCTCAATTTCTTTATTATTTAGAAGTTTTCAAGTATCTTCCTTGAATAATTTTGATATTTTCTGTTTTTCTAGAAATTCATCCATTTCATCTAGTTTGTCAAGTCTCTTAGCATATAGTTCAAAATACATTTTTATATTTCAAAATCTCTGGTCTTTTTTTTTTTTGGTTCTATATTTTATTTGCATTTTCTTTTTCTGGGTCAATCTTGCCAGAGATTTATTTACTAATATATTTTTTAAACCAGCTTTTGGTTTTGTTCATCATGTCCATTTCTCCCCTTGATTTCTGCCTCTATTTTTTTTTTTTATTATTTCCTTTTTTGTTCTTCAGAGGACCCAGAGATTTGCCTAGACAAATTAACCAGAGGCAGAGGCAGATAAGGGGCCAGCTCCTTGGCTCATAGCCCAAAGTTCACTTCCGATGGCTTGCTGTCATGAAGCCGGGAGCCCAGAGCAGTTGGGAGAATCAGGGCCATGGCCTGGTCTCGGCCTGGGAACAGACCTGGCTGTGTTGTAAAGTAGCCTCATGAGGCCACTGAGCACTTGAAATGTGCCTAGTCAGAATTGAGATATGCAATAAGTGTAAAATTTACACACCAATTTCAAACAGTACCAAAAAGGTAAAATATCTCAACCATTTTTATATTCATTACATTAAAATGATAATATCTGGTATACGTGGGGTTAAAGAAAATATGTTGTCAAAGTTAATTGTACCTATTTCTTTTCCTTTGAATGTGGACTGTGAACATTTTTGTATTAGATAGTAATAGTACAGGCAATACAAGAATATGTCGAGATTTGTGACAGTTTGGGGATGGACGGAGCTTTGGTAAACACAGTTAGCTGAACCTGCTTTGTTCTGGAGGAAAGAAAACAGGCTCAAATTAAGAAAGGATTTATCCAGGGAGCAGGAGTTCAGGCTCTTCCGCTGCGCCTCACTTGGTAGCAGGTGCTGGCAGCTACCTCTCTCTGGCATTTTTCTATTGTCAGCTCCAGCTCACAGGTATGCCAGTCTCCAGGAGAGACACTGATGGGCCGGCCTAGGTGGGGACACGGGGGCCTATGATTCACTATCACATGAAAATCAATGGAGGAAAGTGGGACAATTCACTAAGGAACCAGGGTGACAGAGCACATTGGGCTGCAGAAGCTGGATGGGGATGTTGGGCAGGCAAGAATAGATGTTCCCTGCAAGGGTCCCAGAGTTCTCCCTCCAGGTCAATGTCCTTCTCCATGTGTAATGAGTCTTACTAAAGATTTGAATGACTCCTACTTCTCTGGTGTCTGCCTCTTCAGACTCCACCTGGCCTGACACCCAGTTGTGCACCGGAGGAGAGAAGGATTTGGGCAATAAGAGGGTCAAACTGGAGTGGGCTATCCCGTCATGCTCTCTGCTTTGTTTCCAGGGGTCTTCAGGGCTTCTTGCTCAAGGGCCAGGAAGGCAGCTGGAGAGCCAAGAGACCTAAGGATTTCCTTTTCCAAAACATAACCCAACTAGGAGCAGGGGCATGGACCACAGTGAGGGAGTCACCCAAGCCCCAGCTGGTACCGTGGTGCCTCAGGAACTGCTGGACGAAATGCTTTGGGTTTTTCGGGTAGAAGATGGTAAGTTGTGGAGGGCTGGTGGTGGGGGTGGTGGGGTCTGTACCTCGACGCAAGGAGTGGAATCTGGGTCTCCTTTATGGCAGGCTGCACATTTCCCCCCAAGGCAGGTACTGAGGCTGAGGGATCTTCATTCCCAGAAGGGTCTGGCCTAACTGTACCCTCCACTTCTCGGGGCATGGTCATTCGTAGTCTCATTTACTGGATCATTCACAAATATTTAATAAGTTCCTCTGTGCACCAGGCACTGTTCTCAGCATTGGGGTTATGGTAGTGAATGAAGCACAGAAGTGTCTGCCCTCATGGAGCACACATTCTAACACAAGAGAAAATAAACAAGCAACTAAAATGCATAGCACATTGGTGATGAGCTGTAAGGAGGAAAATTAAGCATAGAAAGGGAGTAGAAGGGAAGATACTACGGTCAAGGAAGGCCTCACTAGGAAGCTGACATTTGAGTAAGGGCCTGCAGGAGGTGAAATGATGAGCCACAGATTATGTGGGGGAAGAGCATTCCTGGCAGGGGGAACAGGAAATGCAATAGCTCTGGAGCTGGATCCTGCCTCATTTTGGTTCAGGGTGGACAGAGCTTATTACCTAAATTCAAAATAGTCACTTGATGTACTCTCCGTTGGCAGTTGTTGGACACGGTTTCATTGTCACCCCTTCCTCCCCCTCTCTCCCCATGGCCACACTATTATCCAACTGTAGTGCTGTCTCTCATTAGACAAGGGCTTCTGCAGAGCAGAAATTGTCCCTCCCTTTGCCTCTCCCCAAAACCAGAGCTCCTGCAGGGCAGGGGCTCATCTTCATTAGTCTCTACCACACTTGGCTCACAGCAGGGGATGACTGATGCCATGAGCTGAGTCTGAGCCCAAGCCCCAACTGTGCATGAGCCTGAGGGGGACCTAGCCTTTCCTCAAGTCTCTGTTCCTTGTGTCCTTCCCCAGCATCTCCTTGGAATTACTCCATGCTTGCCCTGGTGGGCATAGTGGGCATGATCAGCTTCATTCTCCTGGGAAGGAGCATTCGGGCAAACAGGTGAGCTGGTTTGGTTTGGGGGTGATCCCTGGGGGGTTGGAGACCTGCCCTCCCAAGGGAAATCTAGGGAGTGGTCACCTAGAGGTGCTGGCTAGCCATCTTTTGGGACAGCAAAATGCAGCCTTATAGAATTTACAGTTTGGTGGGGAGACAAGTATAGTTCAGAGTGACAGATGCTCTGTGTGGGACATAGAGTGTGTGGGAGCACACTGGTGGGATCTGGGGCCTTCAGGGCAAGAGGGAGAGGGAGAGTGGACCAGGGAAGGCTTCTAGACTGAGGGACAATAGGCACCAAGCTTGAGATGCTGAAAAAGGAGGGCCGGGCCATATGGCTGTGGAGTGTGACATGGGGTGGGGGCAGAGGGAGGACAAGAGGCAGGCAGGACCTAGAATTCCATCCCAAGGAATTCAGGTTCTAGCTCTTGGGCGTTGGGGAGCCAGAGAATGGCTTTGCACAGGGACATGAAGATTTGTTTTAGCAAGGTTAGTCTGTATGTAGGACATAAAAGGAGCCACAGGGGTGTAGCTTCTAAAAAGGTGACCTTGCCTTTCTGACCCTGTCAGGAAGCATGGCCCTTAGAAGGTTAACTCAGGGACGAAGTGGCTGTCTATGGGAGCAGCAGACACTGAGCAGCTCCCTCTACGGCCCCAGCAGAGTCTCTGGGCAGTCCCCTGGTCCCACAGCTGGGTCCCTCCACTATGGCCACGAAGCCTAGGAGTACCTTGCATAAAACCACCTTCGACGGGAGGACATTTGGGGGAGTTACTGGAAGGCAGGCTAGGTCTTGAATCCCAGGTTAAGGACATGGGCAGTGGGGAGCTACTAAAGGTGCTTGAGCTGAGGTGTGATATGTGTGCACCAGAATTTTAAAAACATGACCGGTGGGGATCCATGGGTGGCTCAGTGGTTTAGCACCTGCCTTTGGCCCAGGGCATGATCCTGGAGTCACGGGATCAAGTCCCACATCAGGCTCCCTGCATGGAGCCTGTTTCTCCCTCTGCCTGTGTCTCTGCCTCTCTCTCTCTCTCTCTGTGTCTCTCATGAATAAATAAATAAAATCTTAAAAAAAAAAAAAAAGACTGGTGTGGGTATGGGGGCTGGTTTGGAAAAGCAAGTACCTAGAAGCAGGAAGACTAGTTAGGAACTTCCTGAAGTCCTCTGGGGATGAGGTGGATGAAGGTGGGGAGGGGGTAACAAGAACCTGCACTAAGCAGGAGGACAGGCCTGGGATAGAGAAAATGTCAGGAGACTTAAATGCATGTCCAAGATATGTGCTTCTTTGAACCCCATTTTACCTGTAAGGGGAGCGTATGGTGATAATAGTTGAGCTCATGGTGGCGATGAGGATTTGATGAGATGATGCCTGGGTGAGTATAAGCTGTTTCTCTGCCGAAAGCACATCAAACTATCTCCGCTTTCTCTCCTAACAGTTCCCAAAACTGCCTCCTGGATTTTCCCCTCCAATCCCTAATCCACTTGGGAGACCCAGTATTGCCCCAACCACTCATTACTCCAGCTCAGGGAACCCAGCTTCAACTGTGTTTTCTCTCCTTCCAGAAATCAAAAGATCCGGGGGAGAAACAAACCAGAAAAACAAACTCCAGAAGACCAAGACTTGACTGAGGCTGAAACCAGAGATGACAATAACCTGAACATCCTAAGACAGACTTTGCTCTCAGAAAAGGAAAATTTAGTTCAGGTGGAAATTAAATTAAAAGAGAAAGATGTGTCACTGGTTTTCCCAGAGCTACAAGAATCAGAGACCTAGTAAGAGTTCAGAGCACTGCCCATGCTGTCAGATAAGATAAATGAACTGCAATCAAACTAATAATCTGTTATGGGGGGGGGAACCACTTTTTATTAAAATGCTTCTGGAAGCGGGCATTTGGAATTGCATAGTTTGTTCAAATGGCAGTGGTCCAACACAAGCGGCTTGGAGCAAAAGCACGAAATCCAGAGCCGGCCTGTGGATCAGGAAGCCCGGCTAGGACTCCTCATGCGGTCTTGAGGGGTTCACAGCCTTGCTCTGACTTCAGCTTCTCCATCTACAGAATGTGGCTGAAGGCTGGGGTAGAGCTGTTGTTCTTAACTCCACGTCCTGGGATTGCCAAGAGCAGGGTTCTGGCTCAGAATCCCCTTCCACCCCTTCCTCCTACCGGAGCCCTCTCCTTTACCTGCTTATCTGCTGACGATCCTAAGAGACTTCCTTTGGGCCAGCCCCTCCCCCCCCCAAGATAAACAGTGTTAGAAGACTGTGAAACTCCCTGTGCTAACAATGGAATCCCATTGGTGGGGGCGGCCCCAAATAATTTATGTAAAAAATTGCTTTATGAACTCAAAATGCCTTAGGTTCTATCTTTCGAAAGTGGACTTAGAACACTCAGAGCCATTGTTGAAGGTACTGGGTCCTGCTAGACCAGACTCCTGGTTTCTTCCTATGAGCCTGGGGCAGGCTAACTGCCCACTGGGTGCTTGATACTGCCAGTTGCAGGTTCCCTGGAGTCCTGGGTGATGGCCACTAGAGAGAATGATTTTGTTCTGCAGTTTTGATCATTAAACTTCAGGAGGCTGGATCTGAGGCTCTGTAGAGAGCGTCTGTAATTTAAGATGGGAAAATAAGGGGGCCCTGTCTCCTGGTGAAACAAAACACTGGAGGCTCCCTACTCTGGATGACCCAGAGCCCCCAATCCTCATTGAAAGCCAAAGCACATGAAATGGCCCTTCTGGGAATTTTACTTCTCACAGCCTGTCCCATAGGATTATTTAAGCCAGATTTGATTTGGGTAAACTGTGGGATTTATTGCCTGGGGCTTCTGGGAAGTCAGAGCACAACAGGAGGCCCAGGCTCAAGCCCCCACCTCAAGACCCGTAGCCGCTCTGCCCTTCCTGTCCACCAGGTGGTGCTAGGACCTCAGGGTGCGCCTCCTGTAGACCCCTCGCCGCCTACCCTTTCTAGAGCGGGACCATGCAGAGCTGTCCACTAGAGGCCACATCTGGCCTGGCTGTCGCTAGAGCAGGGAGGGGTGATGGCACCACGACGGACACCACAATTTCCTTCCACTTCAGGCTGACCCAAGGTCTCTGGGCTGTCTCAGTAGCTACTTCCCTTCAGGGTCAGGGAATGCGGTGGTTACCATGGAAACCAAGGCCTGGAGTGAGCAAGAGCAGCATTCCTGCCTGTCCTTCTGGCTCACACTGTGAACTGGGTTTGGTGCCAGAAAGGGGTCAGCTGCTCACCAGAGGGCAAGGGCTATCGTTCTGTTCGGGGGAAGGCCACTGGGAGAGGCCAGCCCCTGTCCTGCAGCCCCACCCAGCTGCTGAGTCTGGGATCCTCAGACTTAGGGGGGGCCCTCAGAAGATCTTGAAGCCCTTCAACAGAGTCAGGGTGGGTGCCTTGCGCTTGCTCTGGGCCCGGGATGACTTCACCGTGACCAGCTTGGCCTGGGCCACGGCAGGCATTTCCTTCAGACTGACGGTGGAAAGTGTGTTGAAGGTACAGCTGGCCAGACCATGCCGGGCGGTGAGTGGAGCCTGGTGGGGCAGGGCCCTCTCCTCGCAGATGAAGAGGGGCCGGGGCAGAGAACTCTTCTCCAGCTCCCGCCGTGCCTCCCGCACCGCCTCGTGGAAGACATGCTGCACGTGCTCAAAGTCCAGGCAGGCGGAGACCTCGAAAAACAGGCACCCGAACTTGCCCGCCAAGGCCGCGCCCTCGGCCTTGGTGACCTGCCTGGTGGGAAAGCAGGGAGAGGCAGGGTCAGGAGCCTGCGTCCAAGTTGGGTGGGCCAGGGCCTACGCTCGTCTCCCCACTCACTGGCTTGGTGACCTGGAGTCATCTTATCAGTACAATGGGATGAACATCTGCCTCTCAGTGTTGTTAAAAAGAATTAAGAAAGACCATTTGTACTGTGTGCCTACTATAGTACCCGGCGCAGGCCCAGTACTCAGTAAACAGTGGCTGATGTCTCCAAAGCCAGAATTCAGGAACAAAGCGTGGGCAAGGGAAAAGCTTACTGGCTAGACCCTGCTTGTGGCCAGAAGAAGGTGGTCATCTCCAGCCCTGCCTCTCTCTAGGTTAGGCCAGCATGGATTCTTGGTCAGGAAGTGAGCCACCCTCAGCCCTGGCCTGTTGGATCAGCTCTAGAGAAAGGCCTGGACTGAAGGGTGTGAGGTCACAGAGGCCTCAGGATGCCTGTGGTTGGCAGAGGTCTCAGGGCTCAGGCAGAGTTTTGCCAGTTTGTCCAGGGGAGGGGCAAGGGACAGTAAGGGTGAAAAGGGGAGAGGGGACGGCACCCATTGTCAGCTTTATCCTACATCCTCTTTCATGGCAGTGGGATCAAATATTTAACTGGAGGGATCCTAGCAGCTTCTGACCTGAACATCAAGGTGAAAGGAAAAAAGACTGGCTCTTGGGTAGGTCAGATGTCCAGAAGAAGGAAGGGGTGGGCCCTGCCAATTGCCCCACCCGCCATTCAGTGACATAACCCATGAGACAGTTGGTGTTGGTGGGAAGAGGTTAATTTGGTGAGACCAGGGGGGACTGTGAGTGGGCTAGCTGCCCAGGGGGAATATTAGACAGAGTGATTGTGACAAAAAAGTCCAAGGGCAAAGCATCTAGACTCCCCACCCAGGGCTGGTGTCCTGTCTATAAGCTCACTGCTTCCTGAGGAACCCTCTTTGAAGGAATACTTGGTATTATTTGCTTTTATGATGAACTTGAGTTTAAAGACTTCTCATTTGGGGGCTTGAATCTTGAATTTTCAGAAACCAGCACCCCATGCATGCAGACATGTATGTAGATGGGTGACACAGGCATGTAGCATTACCCTCCCTTATTTTGTTGCAGCCTGGTGACAATTTTATCAATGGTTCAGGAACCACTGTTCTAACCCACCTTCTCCCGTTTAGTTCCAAGGCTGTCATGGAAGACGACACGCTGATGCTCAGCTACAAGACTGACTGCCTATCAAATCCTGACCCACTCACTACCAGGCTGGATCGGAGAAGGAAATGAGCGTAAATGCCATGACTTTCCTTAGGGAATTGAAGCTGCTCCGTCTGAGCCCCATAATCTTTGTTACTTGTTCCCAAACCATTTTTACACAATCTTTTTGGCAAAGATTGGGATCAAAAGAATGGTCTGGTTTTTTCCCCTCATACTGAGGATAGATTTACCACAATCCAGTCTTCTGACCCCTTTTCCAGGCATTGTGGGCTCTGATTCCTCAAAACCCACCTTCTGGGGGCACCTGGCTGGCTCAATGGTTAAGCTTCTGCCTTTGGCTTGGGTTGTGACCCTGGAGTCCTGGGATCAAGTCCCACATTGGGCTCCCCACAGGGAGCCTGCCTCTCCCTCTGCCTATGTCTCTGCCTCTCTGTGTCTCTCGTGAATAAATAAAATCTTTTTTTAAAAAAACAACAAAAACAAAAACCAACTTTTGGTTTCAATATGATACAACTTCCTTCATTCCCTTATTCTCTGAGATGGAATTTGTCTTCGTCTGAGGGCTTGGTGGCCTTTAAAGGCTCCTACAGTGGCCCCTCTTCATGAGATGCTCCTCCCTTTCCCACTGCCCATCTGATTTGTTCTGCACCAAAGGTCCCCTCCTGGCTGATACTAGTCAACGGGCCATTGGGGCCTGGGGAAGCAGGAGTGACTGCCATGAACAGGGAGGGATAGATGGAAGATGGGTGGAAGGTGCTGTATTTTGAAGGTGGACTGGTCACACAGGATAAATGCCAGTGCTGGAGAAGGGCAGTGGGATTACTCATCAAGTGGAAGCATCGTGCTTTCAGGGGCCAAGCAAGCAACTCGAATGTATGCAGAGTGGAGGAAAGCCAGCAGGAGTGGTAAGGCCTGTGGTCAGCTGGAGAGAGCATGCCCCTCCTCAAAGCATTCCAATTCTGGGTCTTTTAAAACACTGTGCTCGCCAAGCAAAATGCTGCAGTGTCTGCTGATAATCTGTCCTCTGGCCTAGTCTGTGACCTCTGATTCAAGTCCAATCCATTCTAAGAGAAGCTGCCCTCAGCACAGCCAACTGGGAATGAGCGAGAGGCCATGCTTGGGTGAGGCGAAAGCTGGTTGGTCCTGAACAGACACCTGCTCAAGTTGCCAATCACAGCCTTCCTTCTCAGAACCAGAATTGGGCACCAAATAATAACCAGCCAGCTATGAGGAGTGAGGATGGAAGGTCCTATCAACGCAAGGAAGGGTGAGGCCAAGAGAGACCACAAAGCCCCATGAGGATGGAAGGAGTGGTTTCTCTTCTGACTTTTAGGCTCCAATCCCTGTGTGGGCCAGAAGCTCTTCCCTTTCTGCCCTTGCCCGTTTGGAAGCATGAGCACCCTGTACCCTTTAACCTAAATTTGAGGGGATTATTTCCTTATCAGCCCAATAATCCTCGATGATGACACATAGCCTTTCCAAATGAGGAAACTGAGCTCCAGGGATGAGGACAAACTGCACTCACCTGTACTGGGCCATGTCCAGCTTGTTGCCCAGCAGCAGGGCAGGGGAGCTGCGCTGTGTCTCCTTGGCATGCAAAGCAAGCAGCTCCAGGTAGCTGCTGCTGTCCTCGAAACTCTGGCGGCTATCCATGCTGTACACCACCAGGAAGGCGTGGGCCCAGTTCAGGTAGCGCTCACAGTTCCTGGGGGTGTCCTGGAGCAAAGGAGAGAAGGCTTGGTGCAGGGAAAGGCCATCCCCTGAGCTGCTCCATCCCACCACCCCACTCCCTGGGTCTTTGTATATTGTTCCCTAGCAGAGCCCTTTGCAAAGGGGCACTTGAGTGTGGATTTGGCTT